TCGTTAAACCAGCTATATAGAAAAGTATCAGAGGCACAGAATGGAGTGTGGGGATATCAAGATTGAGGGCCATTGTAGAGAATCGTCAGTCCTTTCAGTTCTACCTAGTTACACTCAGAAATAACTAATTTAATAAGTTAATAATTCCACAAAGGAATAAACCTTTCGTAAATAGAAGAACACTATATCAGTATAATTTCTGAACTGGCAAGCTATGGCTCTCTGGCATTACCCACCTGTGACTATGTAAGTGACTCTTTTAACCAATTTTCTTCCTTTGCAAAGCAGTAGAGAAGGCTTTTCTCCCAAGAGACTATATTTATGCAGGTGTCTCTTTTACCAAGCCTATCCCTTTTGTGGGCAGCTCTTTCCTTTCTTTTTTTCTCTTTCTTTAAAGATTTATTTATGCATGCAATAACTGGGGTACAGCCAGAGGTATGGGAGATGAGAAGATTCACCAGAGAAGAGTGGGGGAACAGAACAGGCAGATTGACTGAAGTACATTGCTGAGGGGAGCAGCAGGTGAGACAGGAGAGGTCTGCACCATGTAGGTCAGCTCCCTGGCCTGGGATCAAATCTTGTGCTGCAGTGGCTGCGGAGAGCTTCCTAGTGCTGTGCTTTAATCTGTTGTGCCAACAGAGAGGTCCCCCCCCCTTTTTTTTTTAAAGATTTATTCATTTACTCATAAAGAACTGGGGTATACAGGCCAGAGATGCGGAGGGTGAGAGGATTCACCGTAGACAGAGTGGGGAGCAGAACAGGCAGATTGACTAAATACACTGCTGAGGGGAACAGTGGGCGAGACAGGAGAGGTCTGCCTCACTATGTGGATCTCCTCCAGGGCAGGCGGGGATCGAACTCATGCGAAAGTGATTTAAGCTTCTTAGTGCTGTGCTTTAACCCCCTGTGCCACCAGGGAGGGCGCCCCCCTTTTAAAAAAATATTTATTTATTCATATAAGAGCTGGGATATAGTTCAGAGGTGTGTGTGTTTGTGTGTGGTGGGGGAGGAAGTGAGGACTCACCAGAGACGGAGTGGGGAGCAGGACTGAAATGGACTGAAATGCCCTGCAGAGGGGAGCAGTGGGTGAGACATATGAGGGTTTAGTTCCCTGGCTGGGAATCGAACTTGTGCCACAATGGCTGCAGATGGCTTCATAGTGCTGAAATTAACTCCTTGTGCTACCAAGGAGACCCACAGCGGCAGCTCTTTCTGCTTACTTGTGTCTTTGCAATTGTCCTTTACTTCCTTTCCCTTTTTATATAGTAAACCTGCCCTTTTGGCTATAACTAAATGTCGACCTCATGGGGAAACTCACTGTGTACCTGAAAGGGGAGCACTGATGAAACTTCCCTCAGTGATAACCCAAGCGCCTGGCTCTTTGAACCCAGCACCTCTCCAAAGCAGCATCATCTAGTGCCCATCATGGGGCCTCTATGGCACTGCTAAGACTTCTGCTCCCCTCTCTCAATCTCTCCTTTGTAGAGAGGGGTTGGTGTTCAGTGACTACTTAGTTGTTCTCTGTGAGCTGAGGCTACTCTTTGGTGGGTCCTGAACACATGGGGGTATGGCCTTCCAGTTACCATCAGCTTGAAAATAAGAAAGCCCTGCTCCCCTCATCCTTGATCTCTTTCCCTCTCTTTCTCTTTTATTTCATTAAGAGCTGCCATTTGGAAAAAAAAAAAAAAGAGCTGCGATCCGGGGTGCTCTTTAACTAGAGGGTGCCACAATGAATTAAAGCACAGCACTGTGAGGCTGTCTGCAGCCACTGCAGCACAAGTTTGACTCCTGGCCAGGAAGGTGACCCATACAGTGCAGCAGCTTCTCTTGATCCACTCGCTGGTCCCCTCAGCAGTGTATTTCAGCACAACTGCCTGTTCTGCTCCCCAGTCTGTCTCTGGTGAACCCTCTCACCTCCTACACCTCTGACCTGTACCCCAGTTCTTATATGTATAAATAAATAAATATTAAAAAAAAAAAAAGAGTTGCCATTCCCTCTTTCTTTGGCAAGAGTGTTGGCTCTTCTGTTTCCAAAGTAGATCTCCCTTGACACTCAAAATAGTGGGCATGGGTCAGCCAAAAAAAGTGCTGTGAGGGCAGCTGCCACTTTTTAGAAGACTCCCATGACAGGATAAGTTGGTATGCATCCAGGTTAGCTCTAGTCCTGCCAGCTGGAAGACAAAGGGTACAACAATGCAAGAAACTCATCCTAAGCATTCCGCATGCCCCACCCATGGCTTTCCAGTTTTAGAAATACAGTCTGAGATCTCGCTTTTCCAACTTTTTCCCTCTGTTGTGGGTTGTTCTCCCTCTCTGGCTTTCCTGCAGCCCATATCTGATTCCTTTGCAACTGTAAACAAGCCCTTTGCATGGAAAGCTCTTTTTCCTTGCCTTTCACTCTTGTTTGACCAGCAGCCTACCCAGACTTAATACCGCTAAGGCTGGGTTCTCTCCCGGGTGTACCCGACTTTTGAGTGTCTTACTGCAACCACCAGAACTTTCCCAGCCTCCATCAGGGCCAAAGGACTGTCCTCCTAGTTCCCACCCCCACATGTCCTTTATCAGCTATCACTCACGCATCTCCTATGTAAAGGTTGGGCCAAACTTCATCCACGTGGCTGCTAGAGATCTTCCCCGCCCTCAGGAGCACCTCCAGCTCCAGGATGCTGGGGCAAGGCGTGGCATCTGCATCGCCCCTCAGCTCAGGGAGCGAGGAGTCAGCCATGGGTCAGCCCACACACCCCTCTCTCTGCGGTCACTCCTCTCTGTCTCTCCAGTGTCAGTTCTCCTTCGCAGAGATTGGCAGGAACAGGTGGGTTAGGAGCAAGTGACTCAGCAAGTCACCGGTGCCTCCAGAGAGAACTAGACTCTTTTCTTTCCATCAGCCCCTTTCCCCTAAAACTCCGTGACAACCCAAAGTTAGACATACCTTTGCAAATCACTTTATGTCTCAGCTTCGGTTTCTTCATCTGTAAAGTAAGGACAGTTACACCTACCTCAAAGAATTGTGAGGATTAATGAAACAAAGGACTTTTGTACCAACAAATAGTAGATGCTTAAGAAATATTTGTTGGATTTTATAGGTTTGGTGCCTAGAATAAGACTGGTTCTGCATGCTGACCCACATGGTGCAGCAGGATGTAGAGGAGGTGGCTGACAACAAGCATGACTTTTTTTTTTTTAAGATTTGTTTATTTATGCTTACAGAACTGGGGTATAGGCCAGACGCTCAGAGGCAGTGAGAGGATTCACCAGAGACAGAGTAGGGAACAGAACAGGCAGATCGTCGAAGTACATTGATAAAGGGTGCAGCGGACGGGGTCAGGAGGTCTGAACACCATGTGGGTCACCTCCAGGGCCAAGGATCGAACTCATATTAAAGTGACTTTAGCTTTTTAGTGCTGTGCTGTGCTGTGCTTAATCTGCTGTGCCACCAGAGAGGGCCCACATGAGTGTTTTTCAAAAAAGCTCTGCAGGTCTCTTTGGCCACAAACTGGGTGGGAACTTTATGTCTAAATATGATCATGGTTCTCAGGGCAAAAGTTTTTGGAGTTGTAAACTCAGAGAAATGTGGAGATGAGACATAGAGGGCCTTATCTACAGGGTGCTCATTTGTGAAGGAAGGTTTAAAGAGTGATTTCGTAATGAAGATAGCTGATTTCTCAGAAAAGAAGGCTGAACTGGATTATGTATGTCAAAAGGTAGGGACAAGGGAAGTGAATGTTGCCTTAGACTTTTCAAGGGACCATAGGAGGGCCCTTCCTGGTGGCACAAGGGGATAAATCATAGCACTGTGAAGCTATCAGCAGTCACTGCAGCACAAGTTCAACTCCCCACCAGGGAGCTGACCCACATGGTTTAGCAGACCTCTCCTGTCTTGCCCACTGCTCCCTCAGCAGTGTAGTTCAGTACTCTTCACTCTGCTATCTGGTGAATCCTCTCAACTCTCTCCCACCTCTGGCCTGTACCCCAGTTCTTGTATGCATAAATAAATAAATCTTAAAAAAAATAGTCAAAGATGCCAAAGGATGTGTCATCAGAAACATTTTTGGGGTTGGAGGAAGATTCCTTTTCTGTAAGGACTTTGTCCTCAAAATAGAAACTGAGAAAGCCTGTGTATGTCCTGCCAGAGTTGGTTATCAACAGAAGGGGTGAGCCATTCCACCTACTCTCATCGGACTTCACAGGCCCAGATAAAGTCAGCATGGGCACCAGCCAATGCAGGAAGGCTCCCAGCTGCCTACAGCCATGAGTCCAGTTTGAGGCCACCACAGGGCATCCTCTGGAAGGAATCTGCACCCACACAGGACCTATGATCTGTCCCCAACCCCATCAGAGCCACTGAAGTCTGTATTGCATGGAGAAAGCAAGGCCAAAGGGGTGGTGGAGCCCAGGCCAGGGGTGGCTTTGGACTTGGTTTATATCAATGCGAGGCCTGGTTGGGGCCTTCCCTTTAGGATGGGATATATAGCGAGGTGAGAAGAGCACAGATTATGTTAGTCAGATGTAAGTAGCAATATTGGCTTGCTTAGGCACATATTAACTGCCATACCTCAGGCAAGTTTCTTGGCCCTTCTGTGTCGTAATACCCTGTGGCGTTAGCATGAGGATTAAGCAGATATTTATATGACTTTTGGCTTACGTTGTGAAAGCGTAAGAGGGCAATAAATGGTAACAGTGATCATTGGCGGCTGGGGAAGAAGGTAGGTGCCCACCAAAGGCATTTGGCTAATCCCTTCTAGCCCCTAAACTCCATGTTTACTGACCCCACAGGCCCACCTTCCAATTCCTAAACTCTTCCCCTTCTCCAGCTTTGGGTCTGGCCCGGACGAGTGCGTCGGGCAGCCCTCTGGCCGCCCGAAAGGTGTTTTCCCTCTCAGCTGGTCGAGAGCCCAACTAGAGCCCCGCGTCTTTTCCGGTTTCGGCCCCGCCCCCTAGGGCCCCGCCTCCTGCCGGTATAGCCCCGCCTCCCAAAGCAGTTCCGGTTCGGCTTCGAGCTGCGGGTGGCGCGGCTGAGAACGCAGTGGGGAGCGATGCCTGCGCGAAGCCGCCACCGCCCCCGCCTCCATTCTGGCTCCCCACCCCGGGCGCCGCCCCCGCCACTCGAGGCGCTTCACTCCGGGGAGGCCCGGAGGGCCCTCGACTCCGACGGCTCGGACGCCGACTCGGAGGGGTGTCCGGGTAGCCCAACTCGGACAGCGGAGGTGAGCGCGAGCTGAGGCTACGGAGAGGGGAGTTTGGGGGGCGCCTGCAGCCCAGGGTGAGTGGGGAGTCAGGATGGAGTCTGGGGCTGTGGAGAACCTGGGATGCGGAGGGGCAGCGGCAGACGGTTGAGGGAGCCGGGAGAATCAGCTCTAGAACGGAATCTGAGGGGAAAATGGAGGGGCTGGGTCTAGGGCCTGAGGGGGTGACGACTGCCGGAGGCTGCTGAGGGGCGAGGGGGAGTGGGAGACTGGGCGATGTGACCCCGAAGATGTGGAGGATTTTGAAAGCAGGGTAGTGAAGACGACGGCGAAGGGGTCGCGCGGCCGTGTGGGATCGGAGGAAGATGCTGCGGGGGCTGGCTGGGGATCCGAGGGGCCGGGCCGGGCCGGCGCGACCACATGGCGCGCGGGCGGCAGCAGGTTGGGACTGAACTGATGGCTGACGCGAATGAGGTGGAGATAACTGAGGAAGAATTTAGGTTTGACCGAAGAGGGAGGGGCTTTTGGTGGGTAGTCTTCTGGCCCCAGAGCTAGAAAAGAAACGGGGTCTGGAAAGAAAAGGTACCTAATTTATTAGGGCTTGGCGGTTTGTTTGTTTTTTCTTTCAGGTGTCTTTCAAAGTATTGGCAACCTCGAGGTTAATAGATTTGGCTTCTGGGGTTTTCTCGTTTGTGAATGGTGAACTCTTTTAAAAATCAGGGGTGGGAGGAGGGCTTTTGCCCAAAAGAGTGGAGGAAGTAGTGAATAGGAAGTGGTGTTTGGGAAAACGAGTGATTCTGAAAAAGACCTCTTGGGTTTCTTCTAACGGGAATTTTCTTCCCCCCTTCCCCCTTCATTTCTTTGCTTAACGAGGCTTTTTTTTTATGCATACAAAAACTGGGGTACAGGCCAGAGTTGTGGGGGGTGAGAAGATTCACCAGAGCCTGAATGGGGAGCAGAACAGGCAGATCTACTGAAATACACTGCTGAGGGGAGCAGTGGGCGGGTCAGGAGAGGTCTGCCAAGGGATCAAACTTGTGCTGCAGTGGCTGAAATAGCTTCATAATGCTGCGCTTTAACCCGTTGCACCACCAGGGAGGGCCTTGACAGACTAATGTTAATTCAGTTTTCCAGATAGTGTAGGAATATATATTTATTAAAGATTTATTTATTTATGCATACAGAGCTGGGGTACAGGCCAGAGGTGCGGGGGTGGGGTGTGTGAGAATATCACCAGAGACAGTGGGGAGCAAGGAATAATATTTTTTTTTAAGATTTATTTATTCATACAGAACTGGGGTACAAGCCAGAGATGCGGAGGGTGAGAGGATTCACCAGAGACAGAGTGGGGAGCAGAACAGGCAGATCAACGAAGTACACTGCTGAGGGGAGCAGCAGGCGGGTCAGGAGAAGTCTGCCATGCCATGTGGATCTCCTCTGGGGCAGGTGGGGATCGAACTCATGCGGAAATGGCTTAAGCTTCCTAGTGCAGTGCTTTAACCCGCTGCGTCACCAGGGAGGGCCCGGAATAATATTTTTAAGAGTGATCTGGAAAAATAATAGAGGATGCTTGTAGTTGGCAGTTAACAGACCTGGGACAGGTGGGCATACAGATATAGAAGACAGTATCAAAACTATAATTGTACCAGGAAAATATAGATTGCAGTATTTACACTCACTTTAGTAGAACTAAATTAATTTCTTTTTATAATTGTTGACTTGTTATTTCAGCTGTGTATCATGTTTTTACATCTTATTTATTTGATAGTTGTTTGGCTACATAAACAAAAACTTAGAATCAGTCTGATTTACCTTCACCAGATTGAAATGTTCTAGTGATCTCGTCTTCATATTTAGCTGTAAGTAAACAGTCTTGAAGTTAAATATTTGCTGGATTGAACTCCTTTTTATAAATGTTGCATCTCAGTATTACTGTAAAATTGATGAAAGAAACTTAGATGGAGTTATACAGTTAATATACTGGCATGCTAATACTTCATTTAATTTTTTCCACTTTGATAGTTCTCACAGCCACTTAATTGTAAAGAAATTTAGTTTCATGGGGCCTCCCTGGTGGCATAGTGGGTTAAAGTGCAGCACTGTGAAGCCATTGGCATCCACTGCAGAACTAGTTCCACCCCCAGCCAGGGAGGTGAAGCACATGGTGCAGCAGACCTCTCCTGTCTAGCTTGTACACTGCTCCCCTCAACAGTGTATTTCAGTGGCTCTGCGTGTTCTGTTCCCAACTCTGTCTCTTGTGAGTCCCCTCACCACTCGCCCCTCCCCTGCTCCTCACTTCTAGCCTGTACTCAGTTCTTATATGCATAAATAAATAAATCTAAAAAAACTGAAAATTAGTTTTATGGAAGAGCAGTTTTTTTGTGTGTGCAAATCAAGAAAATCTGTTAAAGAGCTTTCACACTTTTACGGCAAAATATCCAGACATAATTAGATAATCAGTTTTTATTTCAGTAGCACTCTGTCCTGCAGATTCTTATGTTGCACAACTGCGTATAAGCATTTTTATTTTGTTAATCATTAGTTCAATGCATTTTTAAAACTTTGCTATAGCTGGTTTAGAGATATTTTCATAACTTTTTGAGAATTGCAATTTGAACATTAATCTTGAGAAACTATTGGATCACAAATGTTCTAATGAATACTGCTATTTTAATTAAAAAATGACCATACTAATTAGCTCTTTTCAATATTCCTACCTCAAAGCCTGTTGTTTACTATATGGAGCTAGTAGTAGTGCTACCCACTATAGCCATTAGCTTATAGATGGAAACCTTTGCTGTTTTAAGTCTTTGTGCTGTACTGTTAATGAAGGTTGAATTCATTTTGAACACAAAACTAACTAACTGGGAGGTTAACACAATTCCATATTCTGCCGTTACCTATAAAACTCTGGAAAGATTGTGGGTTTAGTGGAAAAGTACAATATAAATTAAGTGTAATTCTTTTAGTGAACTTAGGATTTATTTCTTGCAAGAGAGTAAATGTTTTACTTTATGCAGTGATTTGGGGGGAATCAATTTTTTCACTTTTTTTCCTCATGTGTTTGTATATTTCTATAAAAAGTTATTTGCAAAATATTTTTGTGGTTTTAAAATTTTGCTTGCATGTGTTTTTGGAAATTCTTGAAATCTTTTTTTTTGTTTTGCTTTTTACCTTTCCAAGTGTGGTGTAACACACTGAATGATAATATCAGTAGTTGGTACAGAACAGAAGGGTCAACTTGAATAGATACCATCATGACGGTAATTCTTTAGGTTGTGTGGTTCCCTTGCCTTAGAGAAATCAAGATGCTAACTCAAAATAAGAGAGCTCAGGTCAGATACTCTTAGAGAACAGTTTTATTCTTTCTGCCTCTTCATTACCTGGTCATTTACTATCAGAATATGTGGATGTAAATTTGTGACAGAACTGTGCCATGAATATTCAATCAACCTGTATTCTCACCTACATCATTATCACTTAAACCTTACCTGAGTCTAGACTTTATGCTTCTATATTGAAATGCTATGGTTACCTTATTATACACTAGCCCATTCTGGTTATATGATCACTTCAATAGAAGATGCAACATAAATGTGAATTTATCTTGACTCTTGTTTTGCATGGTATAAACTAGGAAAACTTAAGTTATCATCAGTTTGTTTGATCAGTGTCTACCCATAAAGCAATGTTTATGATATGTACCCAAAAGAGAATTATAGGAGTGACCATCTATTTGTAATTGTCTTACATTTTTTTTTTTTTAAAGATTTATTTTTTATTTGTGCATACAGAACTGGGGTATAGGCCAGAGGTTCAGGAGCGGCGAGAGGCTTCACCAGAGACAGAGTGGGGAGCAGAACAGGCAGATCGACGAAGTACACTGCTGAGGGGAGCAGCGGGCGGGTCAGGAGAGGTCTGCCACGCCATGTGGTCCCTTCCGGGGCAGGCGGGAATCGAACTCATGCGGAAGCAGCTTTAGATTCTCAGTGCTGTGCTTTAACCCGCTGCGCCACCAGGGAGGGCCTTGTCTTACATTTTTTTGTGTATCTAGTTAAGTTTTTGAATAATAGCAGAAGAGAGGTGATAATGTCTATTATCTTGACCCTTTTTCTGTTCCCTTAAAATTTTTTTAAAGATTTATTTATGCATACAAGAGCTAAGGTACAGGCCATAGGTAGAGAGGGGTATGAGGATTCACCAGAGTCAGAGTGGGGAGCTGAACAGGCAGATCTACTGAAATACACTGCTGAGGTATCAGGAGTTGAGGCAATAGAGACCAGCTGTGCTATGTGGGTCAGCTCTCTGGACAGGGATTGAAGTCATGCTGCAGTGGCTGTGGATAGCTTTGTAGTGCTGATACTTAACCCCTTACATCACCAAGGAAGCTCTGTTCTATTAAAATTATTTTAAAGATTTACTTATTTATGCATACAAGAAATGGGGTACAAGCCAGAGGTGCAGGGGGTGAGAAGATTCACCAGAGACAGATGGGTAGCAGAACAGGTAGGTGTACTGAAATACACTGCTGAGGGGAGCAGCAGACAGATCAGGAATGGTCTTCTATGTGGGTCATCCCCCTGGTCAAACTTGTGCTACAGTGGCTGCAGCTGACTTCACCTGCTATGCTTTTCACATGCTATTGCGTTACCAGGGAGGACCCCTGTTTTCTTAAAATTTTTGATAAAATAGCCTAGTAGGAGGCAATAACCTTGCTTATACTGTAGATACAGTTTAGCTTTCTTTTTACTAAAGAGTTGCTTATTTTATTCATAGAAAAACTGGGATGTAGACCAGAGTTGGGGTGGAGGATGAAAAGGTTTACCAGAGACAGAGTGAGGAGCAGAACAACTGGGTCTACTGAAATACACTGCTAAGAAGAGCAGTGGGGTAAACATAAGAGGTCTGCTGTGCATATATGGATTAGCTCCCCGCCAGCTAACTCAGGTCCTCCAGGTAACAAGTGCTCTGAGCCCACTGGGGAGACCCAAATTTAAGTTCTACTCTTATCACTGAGTTTT